AATACTGGCAAAAGTGTTTCACTGCTGATTGGATTTGCCTGACAGATCCAAGGAGGAGGAGAGCGTGGACAAGAGCCCTTCTCAAGAGGTTGCAAAGCCCTAAAGACTGGGACAAGTGCCAGGAAGAAATGAAAAGCTGAGCTGAGTGGGGGGGGAAATAAAGTCTTCTCTACAGAGAATATGTTAAGTCTGCCAAATAAACAGAATCAAATAGAGACATCGGCCAGATTTTGCTAACCAGGAAATTAGATTGATGAATTAAAAAGCCAAGTATCATTATAATTTTTATAATAATAGACTTTTAAAGTAGAAGTATTAGACAAAGAGATCTCATCATTTGGTATGAAGAGCTCTCAAACATGTATGTGTTGTGTTTGATGCTGCCAAAACGTTTATCACACGGCAGTTTTCTCAGTGACAGTCAGGCCTTTGATTATCGGCAGCTGCCAATCTAAAACTTTTTATTAAAAAAATTATCTTGTAGCACAATTGCAAAATAAATTTTTTCATTGATATAATGCATGCTTATGCTAATGAGTTTCTTCTGTGAATTATCAACTAGCAGTTAATAGGAATGGATATGAATTACACTTAAAACCAAATCGCATGAAAACAAATAAAAAACCTTACCACCAGATAAATATTATCCAATTCTAGAGCAGGAAGGTACAGGATTTCTGAACAAGTCACCATTAGAATAGATTGACAGATCAAAATGGAAACAAATGGAGCAGAAAAAAGATACTAGTGTATGAAATGTTTAATTCATACTCAAATCAGCAATGTAGATCAAGAAGAAAAGAATGGACTGATCATTAATATTGTTGAAAAAGTTGACTGCTGTGTTAGCTTTCTTTTGTAAATTTCTATAAAAATCACCACAAATTTAGCAGCTTAAAATAATACATACTTACCATTTTAGTTTCCATGGAACAAGGCTAGACTGCAATCCAGGTGCTGGTCAGGACTGCATTTTCATTAGAGGCTTGATTGAAGAAAGGTACATCTCTGAATTCTCTCAGACTGTTAGCAGCCTAGTCTCCTTACAACTTAAGAACTGAGTCCTCACTTTGTTGATGGTCTTTGACCAGGGACTACACAGTTGCTTGCTTTTCCTTGATGCAGTGCTCTCTCCATAGACCCGCTCATAAGATGGAAGCTTATGATACCAGGGAGTGGGAGAAGTCTTCCTGACAAGCACACATCCAAATATATACTTGCATATTTCTACAGAGAAGCACATACTTGCATGCAAATATATATATGTGTATACATATATGTATGTATGTATTAATGTATTTATGATACAGAGATATAAATATAAATAGATATATGGATAGATAGGTACATAAATATAAATGTAATTATGAGAGTGCCACATTTTATTAGTTACAAATCACAGACCCAGTCTATAACCAAGGCTAAGGGATTATACAGAGTATAATATAGGAGACATCTTAGGTACTGTCCAGCACACTACTCTGGAAAACATCAGCTCAGAATAACCTTTGTCAGTACACAACTTTTGTCTTTGTGGGCTTGAAACTTCCAGTGAAAAAGTAAACAAAACACTAAAAAAAAAGAATCATAAAATTAGAAGAACATATTCATTTTAAATGAAAAAAAAAAAAAAGATTTTACCTCTCTATAGGGTAACATTTCTTAAGTGTAGCATTAGCATCTGCTTCAGAATAAACTTTTCACTGGGATTCATACATGTTTGTCAGTTCTGGCAAGTGACAATGTGACATTTCTAGGTCTCTGCATGAAAGAAAAGCAATCCTTGGAAAGCTGTTTTGCAAAGACTTCTCTCCCATCTTCCTTTAACTAACATAGCCTATATGACAGTCACAAATGTCATTAAATTTAAGAATCAATGACAAGATACACCATTACTTTATGTTCTCAAAGGGAAAAATGGATAAACTATTAAGATACATTACTCTTAATTTGTTAAAAATTTTACTTACTAAAAGAACTCTTTTAGACTTAGTTCAACTACATGTTTTTCACTCTGGTCATTTAAAAAGAAAACATAGGTAAAATATTGGTTATGATGGACTTAATATTTATTTTCAGAGTCCAACTCTTTTTTTTAAATTTTTTTAAATGTTTATTTTTGAGAGACAGAGCATAGTGGGGGAGGGGCAGAGAGAGAGACACACACACAGAAACCAAAACAGGCTCTCCAGGCTCTGAGCTGTCAGCACAGAGCCTGATACAGGGCTTGAACTCACAAACTGGGAGATCATGACCTGAGCCGAGGTCGGACACTTAATCGACTGAGCCACGCTGGTATCCCAGAGTCCAACTCTTTTATATCACCAGTCAACTCAAAGTCTATGGAAACTTCATTGACCAAACACTATAGTAATCTATAGTGTATGAAAAGAAATGGAAATGCAGCTTATATTAAAAGAATATTTCATTCTTTTCTCAAAGCCAATGATATGCACATCAAATCAGTTCATTAGTTCTTATCTTGGGAAAATAAGAATCTCTGTGTTTTAGTGTTTCTGTTAAACGAGGCCGTATTGCTTTCCTAAGGGTGCCGTAACAAGTTATCATAAACTTGATGGATTAAAGTAAAGAAAATTTATTCTTTCACAGTTCTAGAAGCTACACATCTAAAATGAAATTGTAGGCAGGGATGCACCTTTTGAAGGATCTGAGGAATAATCCTACCTTGCCTCCTAGCTACTGCTGGCTGCAAGCAATTCTTTATGTTTCTTGTTATAGATGTATCACTCCAACTCTGCCTTTGTCTTTACATGACCTTCCTCTTTGTATCTCTGTGTGTCTCAAATATCTCTTTTGTTTCCCTCATAGGGACACAAGTGATTGAATTTAAGGCCCACTCTAAATCCAGAAGATCTCATCTCAAAATCCTTAATTACATATGTATATACCATATTTTCAAATAAGGTCACATTCACAGGCACCAGGGATTAAGACTTGGACATATCTCTTTGGGGGACATCATCCAACCCATTATAAGAGCCAATAATATCCACATTGAATGGTTCCTGTGTGTAAGTAATAGCAAATTCTAAATATAAAGAGCTATAAAATATTATTTTTTGTGTTTTTAAATCATATAGTTATGGTATTAGTATTGTTTTATTATTTGATTATTTAGTCACAGTTCTTATACAAAATTTATATTTTATCACAAAATTTCATGGATGTAAATCAGGAAGTGGAAGATGTGAGACACATGCTAATATTTTGAATGCACAAACAGGAAAATAGCATTTAGTTATGCATTTTATAATTGGAAACAAAACATCAGGTTTCTTAGAGATAAGAATGACAGATAACACTGTCTTTTGAATTTGACCATTCTTCCATTTCAATGAAAACATGTAAAAAGTTGATGGATTGTACTGGTTACTGAAAAAGAAGAGCACTTAAAACTAATCTCCTTCCTCAGTTGATATTTACATTTTTTTTCCTCAAAATTAGCCATATTACTGCCAAATATTTCATACTAAATAGAGATACATATTCATTTCTTGATGGGTTCAAAAAATAATTTCAATATCTTGGCTGTTAGTTTTCTATATATTTTAGTTAAATGCTCCAAAATTGACTATTAGTTTCACTTCTTTAAGGACAACTGATCTCACACATATTCTTAATTTTTATTCTTGCCATCAGATAAAAGTACACAGTGGAACTGGTAGCAGCATTTAAAAAATTGCTGAGGGAGCACTCTCCACAATAGCTAAAACATGGAAAGAGCCTAAGTGTCCATCAACAGATGAATGGATCAAGAAGATGTGGTTTATCTATACCATGGAATACTACATGGCAATGAGAAAGAATGAAATCTGGCCATGTGTAGCCACATGGATGGACCTTGAGGGTGTTATGCTGAGCGAAATAAGTCAGGCAGAGAAGGACAAATATCATATGTTTGCACGTATAGGAGGATTAGGAGGAACTTGACGGAGGAACAAGGGGGAGAAGAAGGGCGGAAATGGTGGGGGAAAGGGAGAGAGGCAAACCATGACTCTTGAATGCTGACAAAAACTGAGGACTGATGGATGTGGGGGGGAGGGGGGGATGGGCATGGAGGAGGGCACTTTGGGGATGAGCACTGAGTGTTATGTGGAAACTAATTTGACAATAAACTATTTGTAAAAAAAAAAAAAATTGCTGAGGGAAATTCCACATAAGTAAAAACCAGTAATAAATTTACTAGTTCCTATAAATGTTTTTTTCTGATCCATACTTTTGCTTAGGAAGGTCTGTATTTGAAGGTTAGCATAAATAGCTTCAAATATGTATTTGTGCACATACACAACTTTTGATATTGAGTATATATATCTCCATTCATTTCAAAGTTTGTTGGTACAAGAAAGCCACTTGCTCAAGAAATACTGCATTAAAGTGACCACTATCAATATTTTCATATAAAAATGTGGTATTAATATTGAACCAGGGTTTTTATGATTACCTACAGAAAGTGGACTTCTTTGTAAATATCTTACTGTCTTCTTGACAAGTCACCAAACTAACCCAGGTTATGAATCGTTAAAATTAGATACATTATATTGAATTCTTCACTGGATTCAGGGATTAAAGCAAAGATTATACTACTTAGAATTAGTCCAGTTGGTTTTAGAAATACAGTTATTCATCACTATAGAAAACATTTAATTTTGGTATCATTTGAACTCTTTTGTGTATTCAGAGATTTTTTAATAATATAAAATTTTATTATGCTTTATTTAGTTATTTGGGAAACATTTATTAAGTGCTGACTACATTCCATGCACCAAGTAGGAGGCAGTCAGCCACTAAGAATGCTCACTTCCCAGTGTTCACACCTTTGTGTAATCCCCTCCACTTAAATGTGGATTGGGTCTAGTGACTCATGTTTGATAAATAGAATAGGGCAAAATGACTGGGTTGTCATTTCTGAGATTAGGTTACCACAAGATTGTGATTTCTGTCTTTTTCATCGTCTCTTACCTTCTCACTCTCTTGCTTAGATGAAGCTGCTTCCACGTGTAAGCTGCCTTGTGGAGAGATTCACATGTAAAAAAAGAAAAAAAACAGATGGAGACCTCTGGCCATCAACTGGCAAGGAACTGAAGTCCTTAGTCCATCAACTCTTGAGGAACTGGTTCCTGCCAAAAACAGGTGAGTGAGCTTTGGAGAGGATCCTTCCTTCCTAGAGACTGGAGATAACTACAGCCTCAGCAGGTACCTTCATTGCCTCATTATAAGAGACCCTGAGCCAGAGGACCAGCTAAGCTGGTGCATATGAGCTGTGAGAAAATAAATATGTATTGTTTTAAGCTAAGTTTTTGATAGTTTTGTTATGCGGCAATAGATATTTAGCACACTACTTGTGAGTACTAAGATATTTAGCACACTAATTGTGAATACTAGTGAAAAATTCAGAAACAATATATGTAAGAAATACAGGAAGCAGGTAAAGTTGAATACCTCCACTAACGTTGGGATCATTGAGAGTATTTTGATGTAGTGATGTGTGTTTATATGTGTTCACGCAAATGTGTTTTTACACTTGATGTAAAATATGTGATTCTTTTCTTGAAACATACAATATTTGCCTCATAACTTTATTGGCATAAAGAATAACATTCTGAGAAAGCTCTTGTTAAATAAGAGATTATAGCACATAATAGAATTTCTATAGCCTGTCTGACCTGAAGTAGTGAGTTCTTAATTTCAAATACACTCCAGTATTATGTCTTCTCTCCCTGCAATGTTTTCTTCCAATTTTAAAAAGTGGATTGCAGATGTGACAATTATAGAAACTACACATGAGGCAAAAGAAAGATTGTAGCTGGGTAAGCAATTTAAGAAACAACCTGCTGTGTAACTTATTTGGACTCAGACATTGACTTGAATAAAAGCAATTATTTGGGATACATATTTGATGTAAATTATTTCTCATGCCTTGTCTTATTTTCGCAAATAGAGATAGCATTTATGGTGCCACATTCATCAAGCATACACCTGTTTTAGAAACATGAATCAGTATCAATCAAGTACTACATTTGTTACATAAATTGACAGTTTAAAACATGCAGTTGTAATGAATTTAAAAGATGGGGAAAGTATAAGTCAGAGTGATCAGCTTCCTTGAAAATGTTTTAGAATAACTCCAGGCAGAAAAAACACCTTCAGTTTGTCCATTACTGAGGGGTGAAGCTTGGGGGAAGCTATCTATTTAGAATTTTTAAACTGAAGCTGATAAATACTTTCTTCCTTTACAATCGTATAACTTGGAGTGTGTTTGCATCCATTAATATTTTGCTGTTATTTGGTATGGAAAAGCATATCTTACAACGATGACACTTCATTTTTCTAGATCAAATATAACCTCTTGTGGGAAATTGCCTCCAGCAGGCAGAGTTAGACATTTCTTTGTTTATATTTATAACTGCATTATAATTTTTTTTTGTTTCTTTTGTTACTTCTCCAAAACAGAAAATAAAGGACTGGAAATACTTGATTCTGTATCAAAATACACACAATAATCCCAAGACAAAGAGAGTTAATTATATTTTTCTGGGATAAATATTTCATTTCACTTACTTTTTTCTTGTTAGTGTACTGGTAGAAAAACATTAAAGATTTGATCTAGTAATAGAGCAATTAGCTGCTTTTCAAAGAAGAAATGCCACAAAAATACAAAGAAATGTTTTATTTATTTTTTATGTATTTCGTGGAGGTATATGCACTATCACATGTATACTCTTTCTTGTTCTGATGTAGAATCTGTATCTAGTTAAAGGAGAGAGACATGACATACTTCTCAGAATGTTTGACTTCATGGTTTATTGACTATTTTGTTGAGAATCCCTTCTCTTCCAAATAAAAGCCAACAAACTTTTTATGACAAAAAAATTAACTTCAGAGATTTATATATTCTTATCATTTCTTTAATAACTTAATATGTCTCTTTAATTAAATTATTGAAAACCTGTAGAAATTTTTAAAATGGACTTCCATATGTTTTAAGAGTTAATGAATTCATTTTTTATTCCTATGTACTTATGTTTTTCTTGTGACCACTAGGTACTAAGTATAAGGAAAAAGAGAATACAGAAAAAATTTATGTGGCTCTCCCATGTATTCAGGGGTCAATCTATGTGAATATCTTAATGCATGATATTTCCTTCACTGAAGAAATACAGAGAGTAAAAGACCTATGAAGTGTTACCTCTATTACTTTAAATAATTTATTTTATTTAAATTGTTGCCCAACAAGTTCAGCTACAGATATGCTCCATAGGAAACTGAATTTTAAATTGCTATCTCAAGTAGTGTACCAAAGATCCTTTCAAAAGTCAAATCTTTTTTAATTAAAAAAATTTTTAAGTTTATTTTTTGTTTTGAGAGAGAGAGAGAGAGAGCAAGTGGGGTAGGGGCAGAGGGAGAAAGGAGAGAGAGAATTCCAGCAGGCTTCACACCGTCAGCAGAGAGCCCCATGCTGGGCTCAAACCCATGAACTGTGAGATCATGACCTGAGCCAAAATCAAAAGTTGACTACCCAACTGACTGAGCCACCCAGGTGCCTCCAAATTGTTTTTTAAAAGATGAATATCAGAACACCATCTGTGGGCTTTTAATAATATATGTTATCTATGAAGATAATTCTAAATGAGGTCCTCTAAATATTTTTGAATTATGTTAACATTTTAATGTTATAGACATAAGTTGATTCTTTGAGACAAATATTTAATGTATAAATTGCAGTGTATTTCTTAAAAATCATTTACTTATTACATAACAATCCTACCACTTTCAGTGTTTTGGACTTATACTGCTTACATAGGGCATGGTCTTCATTTTGGTATAATTTTTGGGATCCCTTGAGACTATGTTCTTTTAATTTGTATTTGACTGTCACTGTGATTGAAGTAATTCTCACTAACCTTAACTAAATTTATGCTTCCAGATGGAATAACTTTTGTTAATAGAAAAAACCTGAATTAGTAGAAATGTCATCAAAATAAAAATTAGTTTTTATCATAACAATTGCCAATAAAGCTGTGAAATTATATTAAGAAATAGCCTTTACTTTGCCACCTCGTTAGATTAATTACGTAGGAATATGCAATTTTAACTTTCTGGGAAACTTACAAACAAAATCAACATTTAAATAATTTTAATAATTGATATCAGCTGATAGAACTGATAAAAATATGATGACCCTTGTTATGCAGATATTTGCTATATGTAAAGAAAAGACATAATTGGTATTGATTAACACTGTTTATATGGATTGGCTGCAATTACACAATCTATTCCAAGCTAATACCTGTGATTGATACAAATTGAAACAGGTGACAATCATTATTACATTGAGTGTATAGTTATATATTAGAAACAAGAAAAACAACATGACCACTGATGGAATGTAACCTTCCTAGTAACCTTTTATTTATTCCTATTGAACTCTATCCTTTAAATAATAAATTGCTCTTTCTTGTTATTGCTATCAAAAACTTTTATTGGAGAAAGGAAATTTTGTTTTACTTTATAAAATTCAATAAAAGCGAGGCTAAATATAGATTATTCAGGATTTTTGTGATTTCTAGAACTGCTTCTCAAATATTAATATATATAAAAATCACATTAGAAACTCATCAAAAAAATACACTTCTGATTCAGTACTTTTGGATAGGATCTGTATTTTGGCATTTTTAACAAACTCATTATTGTAAATATTGCTTGAAAAGCAAATTTTTAAAGAACAAGAACATACCCTACCTCCTATTTTGGGATTTAATAGTATAGATATGTATATATTACACCATGGCTAATAAGTTTAGATAATTATAATGAAACTATATTCTTCAAAAGCAATATCAAGATACTTATTTATAGTTCTTATTTTCTTTCAAAGAAGCATTTGTTTTTTTTTAAATTCCATTTACTAATGAGACTTCTTCCCTGTGAATCCAAAGATGAAAAAGGGAAACTTTCAAACTTTCTTACATTATAGTACTATCTCCTTAATTCATTATTTAGATGCTTTCCTCATTTGTCTTCTTAGTCTTATAGAACCTTCTAGAACACAGTTTTCATTTTTTTCCCCCTAGATTTGGATATAGGGTGTATTTGTATTTAGATCTAGAATAACTCAGTAGTGATTGCAGATCATCATGCTGGATATTACTTTTTACATTTGGGAAACAGAGGAATGTGATTTCTTTGTCCCTTCCCAAGTTGCTTGTCCATCTCTATCCTAAGACTTTCAAGGCAGTAATGAGCTCTGTGCCAAGGGGCAGCTCTGAAGTTTCCTTCAAAGGGCTACAACAGGGAACGTATAGAAGGTGTCACCTCAAGAACTAACTGCTTTTCCCCATTGCCTTTACCTGACTATGAATAAATCAATCAAAAAATAAATAAATAAAATTGTTACAGGAATGGTATAGCTAAAGTCACTGGTCTTTACAGTGGAGTCTGAATTGAATTTAATATTGTAATCTCCTTGTAGACAACATCTAGCTGCCCAAAGAAACTTTGGGCAATATATATGTCTGAAGAGCGAGAGCATATTCCAACATGAATGAGCTTAGGCCTTGAGAATATATTTGAAGAAAACAGCTCCACAGAATTCTATTTGAGGAGTTCTTACTAAAGAACCTAAAACTTCAATTAGTGAATATGAATCCCAACTGGGCATTCCCATTGACTTAACAATCTAAAGTCCTATGCTGTGATTATGAAGTTCAGATGCTCATCTGAAGATCAAATTTGAAGACAGAGGCTTGCCTATCTAGTGCTGGTAATACTTATTTACTAATGCTTGTATGCTCGCTCCCAAATACAGAATGCTTGAAAAATTATTTAAAATGTAGTATTGCCACTTAGGCTGAATTTTGTTTACTATAAACTGGATTATGAACACAAGCAATAAGAACATGGCAATATCCAGTTAAAAGGAGTTTACATAGATAATCCAGAAAGACATATTATTTTTGGATAATGAAATAAAATCATAACTAATTAAATCTTATAAGGAACCCAGAAACTCATTTATTCATTTCCCAGTTTGCAGATACTCTTATAGACTGGGGCTCAAAAAACTTTAAAAAATGTAAAAACCATTTTTAGGTTGCAGGAAATACAAAAAATGTGGAAGAGTAGAATTAGCCCTTAGATGTTATCTACTGACCCTTGGTGCAGACGGTGCATTAGGGATTCAATATATGAATAATCAATGATCAATATATGCTGAAAATAGGGTTGGATTTCAAAGGTTAGATG